TTTCGTTTGGGGGTTACAGCGCGGTGCGCGGCCCCCACTCCTTTTCTTTTCTGGGTCGTTTTGGGGGGGAGGGGTCGGAGGGGTTTTAAAGGGGGGTTTTGTTGGAAATTTTTTGGCGAAAAAGAAAAAAATTTTCGCGGGGTTTTTTTTTTTTTCTTTTTTTTCCAAATTCCGCCGCCTTCCCCCGGGGGGGGGGAGAAAAAAAAAAAACCGCCCGCGCCGTAAGAGAGCCCTTCTCCGTTTTTTTTTGGGCCCCGCCCGCCCGCGCCCCCACGGCTTATTTCTTTTTTGTTTTTTTTTAAATGACACAAGGAGAAAAGAAAGGAACGTTTTTTGTTGCCCAAATTTTGGGTTAATATTTTTAGAGGAGGGGGTCGGAGGGGGGGGGGGGGGGGGGGGGGCGACGTGTGGCGTTCGATGGTACCCCATGGTACCCCTTGCCCTTTGCAAGAAGCGTGGGATGTTCGGTGAATTCACGACGTGGCGGCCGCAAGCTTTGTTCCCAGCAGAACAAGAGGAGCCCGGAGAAAGTTCTCCGGAAACACGGGACAGCGCGGCAATACTGTTGTTAGCGTGTCGACCTTTGCAAGGCGTCGCAGAGCGTGCCCGACGGTGCGTGGTGCTCTGGTAGAGCCCAGAACGTTCGGAGAGATGAGCAAAGACAGCAGCATTTTCCTCCTGCATGTATGCGTGACAGTTTTTCGTGGATTGGGACTTTTTGGAAGAGTGCAGATGCCCCTTGTGAGGTGGCAGGCAGTTGGTGGTAAAGGTTCCTTCTTTGTGTGTTCGGCCTCATTTCCCCTCGCGCAGGTGGGTGGCTAGTAGTTTGTCGGTGTCGAGACAATTATGCGGCGTGATCTTCAAGTGCAGGGCGCGTAGCAGCTAGAGTGTCCTGTGCCTGGTAACGCGGTGACGCCACGGCTTGATTTGTTCTGCCAGCTTGACGCCAGGTTGACGCACAGCGCAAATTTTTACCCAACTTTACCCAACTTTACCCAAGGACACCCTCCAGACCAATAACGACGAATGGATTGTTGTTCCTGGAGTCCCCTTTGCATACGATTACAAGAACCTGTTTTTTGCGCGCATGAGGGAGGAGTTCCCATCACGTGGGCGAAGTGGTTGTTTCTCGATGCCCTGTCCCCCTTCGTACAAAGAACCAAGGAGGTGGTGCCCAGTGGGCTGCTAAGGGCCGGGTAGCCGACTTCCTTTACAGACTCCGGTTCTCGGGCGAGAGCGTAGTTAATATGTAGTTAATCCACACATTAGCTGTCTGACCATGTCCGTGAATGTAACGATTGATTGCGGGCACAGGTACTCTCCAGCAGATTCCCATAGCATTGATTGGAGATGCTACATGAGGTGAGACGATCGCTGCGCGCTCCTGTAGCCGGTAGCGAGAAAATCTAGAGCACACATGCAAGCCTCATGTCTCCCTCCCCCCCCCTCGCGGATATCTCTTCGGCCGTTTAGTTTCCGAGACGTTGTGTAGGGAAACGAGCGCGTCTCCCTTGTCCCTGCGATACCAGGCCGGGGCAGATATCGACACTGTCTGAAGCCCTCTGTTGTGGACTGGCGTCGAAAGGGAAGAGGATCAGTTTCTTCGTTGAATATTTTTATTCATGCACCCCGGCATCATCGTCTTCTGCGCGATGTGTCACCGCCCACCGTCCTTTCAGCGAACACAAAACACCACACCCGCAACGCCCACGAACTAGATAAGCCCCATTGGCGCACGTTCACGGAGAATACGCATGCATCCAATACAGCTACCGTACAACCCTCTTCTTCTCCGGCGTTCTTCTTATGTACACACATGCACGCCTCGTGACCAGGAGAACCTCTCTCTCTCTCTCTCGACACTCCTTTATGTACTAGCCACGAACGATCGTGCCATGGACGTTCTGCTTCCACCTAACAGCCTCGAGCGATTCTGATATTGCTCTACGGTCTAACGCGCCCTCGCCGCTAAGATACATGCTTCCTCTCCCCCCATGTAACGGGATAACACACCTCGCCGCACCACAGGGCGTACCACGGAGGAAACAAAAAGTATGTACCAAACGAAGGTTACATGAGAGCAACACGAGAGCAAACTCGACACAAACAGAAATGCCCCTGCTGAGTTTCGATCAAACAACAATCAAGACGGGCAGAGGGTGTTGCCGACTTTCCGACCCACAGCAAGACGGCAAAAGAAGTCCCCGACCGATACAAACTCGTGGGGGTTGCTTTGACCCCCCCCCCCGCCCCTCGCCCGCCCCGCAATCCACAACAAAATAAGGCGTCTGTTTTACCACCAGCCGGTCTTCTTCGGCTTGGCCTCGGTGGCCGGCGCGGGCTTCTTGCCCTTGGCGCCCTTCTTGGCAGCGGACTTGGGTGCGGCCTCCGCCGTCTCTTCCTTCTTGTTCCAGCCGAAGACGCTGCCGATCTTCTTCATCGGGGCTTCGTCCGGGTCAACGTAGCCCTGGGGGAGGGGGGGACGGGGGGGGGGTACAGCAGTTCTTGTTGTTGTCGTCTTGACGTTAAAACTGTTGCGGTCGCCGTTCAGTATCGTTCAGTTTCGGTCTAACTGGGCGGTGAAGGGTACAGCAGTTGCTCTTTTCTTTTTTGCACTCTAAAAAACGTTGCGGTCTCCGCTCAGTACCCTGAAATATCCGTCGTGGTCTAACTGGGGTGGGGAAGGCGTTTTCTTGTTTAGCATGCCTTAGCGGGAAGACCACGGACCACGCGTCCTCGATAGGACGGAGAATTGGACCGATCGCCAATCGATCCTTCCTATTTGCCGGAGGTGGCTCAAAAATGATTTGAGTACCTATCGATATTGCTTCCCGGGATGAGGGGGGCGGGCGGTGCAGTAGTTGTTGTCTTCACGTTAAAAACCGTTCCGGTCTCCACTCGGTACCTTCTGACACCCGTACCGTAAACGACACAAGACAACACACCCCGGAGACAATATTCTGGCGATTGAAAAAATGAGTTGTACTCTGTGGGGTGTGAGCTCTCCTGTGTAGCCCGGGTGATAAAAAATGCAGGTCGCGGAGCCATGAAGGGGGCGTGACATCACTACCGCACACTTGCAGGGACCGGAGGTGTTCGGAAACTAGGCGGTGTGGTAGCACCGCCTGCAAATAATTACGTACCGTTCCCTGCCGCACTTGCAGGGTTTCCGGTGCTGGTAATGAGCGGGGGTGATAGCACTGACACTTGTGACTACAGCAGCAGTGCCGTGTGAAAATGAGGGGTGCGTCCAACACAAACCAAGCCCAAACGTACACAGATCCCAAGCGCACACTCAACAGAAGGGCGCATTCCTCGGCATGAAGACCGAATCTTGCACGGCGTCACATCACACCAACTGATCACGCCAAATAACCATGGTCAAGCACGATCACATGGACACTTCCAAATACCATAACGGAGCGCTGTGGACGTTCATCGCCGGGATTATGTGATCGTCACCTACCCTTCCCCCGAAGAGAGTGATCAAGGAGAGAATAAAGGAAAGCAGCAACAACCTGCATCTATCTGTGGTCGAATAAGTTTCCACCTTGCTCTACGGTGATTGATTCTAAGTGAAGAGGTCAGATCTCATTATACTGGCGTTGTTTGGCAAGGTCGCGTTGCCTGGTTGATGAGTTCCGATCACGTGTTTGTACTCTCGTCTACTGTGTGGAGTTTTGGTCAGTTTACGCCCTGGCCCCGCGTAGGCATGTCGGCTCCTGGTGAGCCGCGAGCTAGCAGCGACTCCGCCTTCTCGGGCCCTATCCCTTAGGTTTAACGCCCCCGTGGCTCAACGTATCCGATTCCGGACCTCAGCAAACGCGATGCCCACGCGAGGCCATCGAACTCGAAGAACCAGGCAACACGACGCTGCCAAACAACGCCAGTGCAATGAGATTCGACCTCTTCGCTTAGAATCAACCACCGTAGAGCTTTGTGGAGACTTTTCGGCAGCGACCGAGAAGCGCTTTCGCCAGCAGCGAGACTCTCGAGAGGACCTTTGTCGACTGAGTCGGCGTCAAGAACGAAGTACGGCAGCGGGCCGTGGGCACGATGGCTGTTGATGGGTGGTGACCCTACTCGTGCATGCTCGTGGGTTCGGGCGCCGCCCGTCGGGGCCCCTGCCGCCCGTCGC